TGATTTTTCTTTCTAGCTATTGCTGAAACCGATGTCTCAAGTCATAAACACACATCCCTCATCTCTCTTTTATGGATGACCCCTCTGACCACAACAGCCGTGTCCATTATTTACATGTCAACATCCTCCTATTTACCAGCGTGAAAGGTGAGCCAAGACACGATCCCACCGATGACGCATCAGGAGCTGTTATTGCAATCCTCTCGTAGTACCTCATGGACCATCGTGTCAATAGACTCACTGTTTCTTTCTTTTCATCCTCCCATTGAGCTCTGCTATCTGAAAGAACCGAATTGTTCTGTTCAGTGAAAGTCTGCTCAACGTTCCACGTCTGTGACCCTATAGATCGTATTCTCTGGCCCTGTCAGTCCGACCTCACATATTTTCTTCGGGAATTAAAACAAGCGGCTTGTTAAGCTGCAGTTTTCACTTCAACTGCTAGTGCAACATTATCTGCAAAGGTTGCCCCTCTCCGTTACTGGAATGCCAAACATGAACATGGAGAAAACCAGTAGGGGGGAAGTTCTGCATGTTAACTAGAAAACAAGGCAGACAGTGTAGATCTTTTTGGGTCGCATTGATCCCAAAATTGTAAACAGGCCCAGAGAGTACTGGTTCAGTTTGATCAATGTTTCCTGGAACATACAGTGAGTCTATCTTAGGCGTAGGTGATAAAGACATTAGATGACAAACAGTGACTACAGTCCTGACGGGATTAGGGTTAGCTCTGGTCCACTCTCTTGTCTCCTTATGCAACCGTCTTCATTCACGCAAACCTCCATTCACTTCGCACCTTCACTCGCTCAGCCTGGGTGGAGGCCGTCGTCCACTCTGCTTAATGATTTACTCACTGCAGGACCAACAGTAACAGATCAGGCTGATTCAGTCGTGTGTTTAGTTTCATTTAAAACCAGCTTATTGGTCTCTACGATAACTTTTCATACATTACACTGGTGATGTGTGTCTTGCTCCTTTGAGAGTGTGTCAGCTGACCGTTAGCTTGACCCTCAGTGACTGTAAACACAGACATATTATGAGCCAACAAGCCCCTGGGGACAAACTTGTCAAAGACCATTTCCCACAAAAGGAATGAAACACTGACTCAAACAAAAACACCAGTTGATTGATTAAAACTATTTTTGTTTTCATGTTTTGTCAAATAGACGTGTTGCTTCTTTTTTATGTATTTATTTTAGGATTTTTCATTTACTTTTATTTATTTTTTTTGCTGCTCCATTTCTGGTGGTGACTCCTGTTATTGTTTTGGGTTTTCTTGTTGCCGTATCAGCATCTTTGCTGTTGTTTTGAGTAAATTATGGCATTTCTAAAAGCAAACGTTTGTGTTTTGGAAAAACATGAGCTTCTGTGGAGCTTTTCTAGGACACCTTGAGCATCCATTACGTTTGTAATCTTGTGTTGTTGTGATGATGAGTGGATTTTCTATCATGTTTTGAGACCTTTTTGGTCTTTTTCTAGTTGTAAACTTTGTGTAGCTGTTATAAGCATCCATGTAGAGTTTCTCTATGTATGTGTTTTGCCGTTTCCTCCGTGTAGTTGTTTGAAATGTTTTTGTTGTTGTTTTTATCTCTACTAAGTTGTTTTATGTTTCTTTTAGTGTTTTTTAAGTTTTATTGTAGTTGTTTAAAATTGCTGTGTAGTTTTTCTACCCCTTTGTAGTTTGTTTTACCTCTCTTTGAAGTTGTTTTATATTTCTGTGTAGTTGCATTAAGTGTCTGAGGTTGTTTTTGATCTCTAGTTGTTTGGGGTCGTTTTGAAATTGTTTTTATATCTCTCTTTAGTTGTTTTAAGTCTCTCTGAAGTTGTTTTGATCTCTCTGTAAATGTTGCAAGTCCCTTTGAAATTATTTTGATCTCTCTGTAGTTGTTTTAATTGTCCTTGAAGTTGTTGTGATCTTTATGTGGTCGTTCCTAATCTCGGTTGTTAACTTGAGCCCTTCTATTGTTGTTTTTAAGCTCTATACAGTGGTTTTGATCTGTCTACAGTTGTTTTAAGTCTCTCTGAAGTTGTTTTAATTGTCCTTGAAGTTGTTTTGATCTTTATGTGGTCGTTTCTAATCTCTGATGTTAACTCGAGCCCTTCTGTTGTTGTTTTTAAGCTCCATACAGTTGTTTTAAGTCTCTTTGAATTTGTTTTGAGCTCTCTTTAGTTGTTTTAAGTCTCTCTGAAGTTGTTTTGATCACTCTGTAATTGTTTTAATCGTCCTTGAAGTTGTTGTGATCTTTATGTGGTCGTTCCTAATCTCGGTTGTTAACTTGAGCCCTTCTGTTGTTGTTTTTAATCTCTATACAGTGGTTTTGATCTCTCTACAGTTGTTTTAAGTCTCTTTGAATTTGTTTTGAGCTCTCTTTAGTTGTTTTAAGTCTCTGTAGTTTTGATCTCTCTACGTTTTTTTCATACCTGAGTTTTAAAACTCTTGTCACCGTTTTAATTTTCTTGCCAGAATTTGGGTCCCATTAGTTTTATCTCAGAAATGTGAATTTTTATGCCACTTTGAAGCCTTTGAAGTTGCTTTGAGGTTCCTTGTGGATGCTTTAAACCCTCTCGGGCTCAAAATAAGTTTTGATAAAGGGACGAACAACTAAGTCCTTCAGGGGAACTTCTGAGTTAAAACATGCTCATGAAACACGTATGTGGAGTAACCAGGTAGGAAGGTTTTAACGTTGCACATCTGCAACGCCTGCCTCCAGAGGGTTATAGCTCAGTGTTACCTTTGACGATTCTCTAATGATTTTCTTGACAAACAATGAACCTCACAGAAGCGCCTGATTTGTTTGCCTGTTTACTGTAGGTCAAATCAACAATTCTTCCTTAAAGCTGAAGTACAGCAGTGTCTGAAAAACAACATTAATAACACGAAGACTCTTGATCAGATACAGTTGGTTTAATTCTTTCATCCTAAAAATTATTTTGTCTGTAAAGCCTTGGAGATAACCTTTGTAGCCAGCTATTTGTAGACAAAACAAACAATGTTATAAAGGTTTTACTGCTCATATCAGTAACATCACACAACCTTTTTAGTCAATCAGTAACAATCTTATCGAACATCAAGGGAAAAGAAAGGAGTCTTATTGTAATAGTCACAGCTCCTCGTTAACACCATCGGTGGTGAACACAGGCCAAGCAAAGGACAATTCCAAACCATGATTCTCAAATAAAGTTTCCATTACAGCCAGCTGAAGTGTGGTTGTGCATCTGTGGACCCACAACAAGTGCAGTCAGTACATGTGAGCACAAATTCATAGAAAACATAAATGAGTCCTGCAAGAACGTGAAATAGATTCACTTCAAATGTATTTGGTGGTAAATCAAATTCAAGCTTTAATCATTTGGACACAAAAATCAAACAAAATGTTTCATTATTTTTTAAATACAAACGGAGAAAAAAACGCACATTAAGCGTTTCGTAATGATTTATCTCAGTGAGTAAGTGGAAGAGAACTTTAAACTTTTAGCTTGATTGTTGGAGAAGATCGACCGCTATGACCCTCCACTCTCACCATCAGCCTGTTTGTTTCTTCTCTCGAAACTCCCAAAAAATGTGCCACTCACATTCCACCACACACCTCTTACTGCCTGACCTACAAACGCTCTGCACTGTCATGTGTGTCTGAATCACACACACGCACAAACACACACACACACACACACACGCACGCACGCACGCACACACACACACACACACACACACACACACAAGCCTGTTGCATCAGTGTCTCTCAGAACTAGTTGAATCTAGAATCTGAGACGGGGCGTGTGAGGTGATTCGACCAGAGGAAGAATGTCAGGAAACGGCCAACAGCCGGGTAATGACTAATGTCAGAACTCCTGCACTACCGCTGCTGTCTGTATAACTCTCAGAGGTGTTTTTTTTACCCTCTCTTTGATTTGTTCTGCCCTGTTTGCACCAAACAACAGCACCAGAGGTTGAAAACCTAAAACTCAAACGCTATTCTGTCATGACACTGAACGTAGAGCAGCAAAGAAGAAAACAGGCTAATAAAGTGTTTATTATTATTATTTTCATAGTGAAATATACTAAATAAAACTTTCAAAGTACTTCATCAATACAAAAAGCAAACACAACTACTTCTATGTTGGTTAAAAGACAACCTCTTATAAACTAGGAATCAGTCAGGTTAAAGTCCAGTGGCTTTATCAGGTATCTACTCTGCAACCCACAGACTGTTCTCAGTTTTTGGCTGCCTACAAAGTTGTTTCACAACAATAGTTGCTATCGATCTATTTGAAATAAACCTTAAACTGTTCGTATATGTTTATTTGTCCATCGGTATCCTACTGTGACATGAAATCAGCCTGGTGTGTAGATTCCCCTCTCCAACGCAGCTATTGTCCAAAGGCATCACATTACAACTCCACAGAGCGGCCATTGTCTCCGAACAAGGACCTTTCACACACTCGCTGCCAACACCAGCACTTATTGGAAAACCGTGCTGAGCAGCCGTGGCGGCCATCTTTTACAGGTGTGGAAATTTCCACGAGGATCCTTGGACCACAGGACACGCCTTGTCGAAGAATTCCAAAGGATGTGGGAATGGTAGTGACCTTTCCTGTGAAGATGCTGACGGGCATCAAAAGGGTGCAATCGGGTTTCTGATGACTCATGAGTTCTGTGTTGTCAAACCAACAAATCAGGTTTCAGATGTTGAAGGGATCCAGATTAAACAGAAAAGGTAGTCACAGAGGCATCCTGGCTGCATTCCTCACAGTTTACGTTTTGAGCTTGCGTGAGTTATTTTTCATGAGAATTACAAGTAAAATATTCCTGAATAAGTAAGAACATAAAACATCAACAATCTTCCACCAGAAGATGTTTAGATGAGGGTCAGAGAAGGCCACCAGAGTCACGTGTCTCTCCGCTTCCTCCTCATCCCACCGCTGGATGGAGCAGTAATCCCGCAGCAGCTGTTGCCCAATCGGGACAGCGGTGTGGGGAAATGGGCGGGGCTTCGCCGCGGCGCGTGCTCCCCCTGCCAGGCTTTATATTGTCCCCACTTGCATCCGTCTCGCGCTACTCTGATATAAACAAAGCGCAGATCCGAGCTTCTTCTGCAGTTGGCGCAGATCGTTTTTTTTAAAGGAGCAAAGAAAAGAAACGTTTTCGGGACTTTTTGGTGCAACTCGGGACAATCGTGACAACCCAACAGGTGGGGCTTATTGTTGTCATTTAAACAAATACGACTTCCATTTGTTCTGTTTGTAAAGGGAACTACTTGGCGCGTGCTTCTTATGCAGCCAAACTAACTAGTATGCGCACGTTACAATTTCTATGCGCTAAAATAAGAAAAAAACATTTTATCCGAAATAAAAGTGACCAAGTGGGGTATATTTAACTCCGTCAGGGCAGTGGCGTACATTTTATTGAGTATTTGTTTCTTTCTAAAATGCGTTTTTTTTTGCACAGGTGGTATATTTTTGCACACGTTTTGAGGAAAAAAACTATTTTATTAAAATCGTGCAACATTTTAAATAACATGTTCGGGAACTGCGCATCAACATCATTTTTGTAGCATACGGAGGTTCGCACGTGCCACAATGGGCACGCGCACACCCACCAAAGCAGTCGCTTTGGGATCTGAATTGAAAGGAATTAATTTTAAGGAAGGTAAAACATGCACGAGTGTTGGGATGTAGAGGAATTAGTGATCTCATTAGTTTTTATGACGTCATCATTTTATAGGTCCGACTTGTGTTTATTTGAACATTTAGCAATCTAAATGACTTTAATCCCAGGTTCTGTTATGTTTTTAACGTATTCATAAACAGCTTTGCTTGTTTTAAGTAATTAACCTGATTTATTGTGTTTTACTGAAAAACCCCACAGTTGCACAGATCTAAATATTTGTTTATTTCTCTAAAAATGTAGGTCTTTGGCAGCTTAAACCAGCAGCAAGCCTTCTGCTGCGGCCATGCTGATATTTCAGAACCAGGGATTTGACAGATTAAAGGGCACGTCCCCAAAGATTAAGGAAGCAATCATTGTTTCTGCAGCTGGAAGCTCGTGGACGCAAAAGAGGAAAGCCTCAAAGTCCAAATCTAATCCCCTCAGCTTCTTTTCCAGGTAGTCTGAGTAACCGTAACTTCTCAGGTGTTTCGTTGCAGTGGACATGGATTTTTTCATAAAACCACTTACCTTTGCTGTAAGGACACAACCTTTTCGGATCATCACAGACCTGGCCGGGTCCTCCCATGGTTTCCTGTTCACTCTTGCATAACGCAGTCTCACTTTTGCAGGATAAAACACTTCCAGTTAGTGTGTTTCCACTCCTTGCATGCTCAGATTGGGATTCTTCATGCAGGAACTGGTTTCACTTGTGGATAATACGCTACGTTTTCCCGTGATGCAACAAAAACTCGCAACAGCGTGGAAATACAACCCCTCAGAGAATAAAAGTGCACTTTTTATAATTGTGCTTTGCAGGAAAGAGTGGTTAGTTTAAATTGAATTTCTTTCAAATGAGCCTTCATCCAGGTGAAACAGCCCACACCAAAGCCAGCAGCTAAACAGTTGCTTTCTTCTTCCCCACATGGCTGTGGAATCTCAGCAGGGGTGCAGATCTCTTCCCCTCTTCCAACAAAGCTCCTGCAGTGCAGCGGCGGCCATCTTTTTCTTTTATTAGAAGAACTCTGCAGACAAATGGACCTGTTGTTTGATTCGTCTCTGGATCTAGCTGGGACTGGACTCATGGAGCGTGCGTGAACATGTGTGCTTTGGGGGCGTGTTCCGCAAGAGATTCGTGTTTTTTTTAAACGTAAACAAAAGTCCTGTTGCATCTTATCAGTCTCCTCGCAGCTCTGGGGCTTGATTAACTCTGCTTTTGCAGTTTTGCACCAGCAGACAAATGGGAGCGCGTTGTTGAAGGCTGGAAAAGACAAACATGGTTACAGAAAACAAGCTGAAAACACGCTGAATGTGCAGAGAATGAAAACAAGCTGGAATGCTGTGCTGGTAACCAGGGTGCTGCTTTCTTCCTGTTTGTGTCTTTGTGTTGGTCAGTCTTGTCCCCCACCCCCTCCAGCTATGGAGAACCCCTGGCCTCTCAGGAGTGGACAGATCAGTGGACAAAGCAACCTCTTCACTGGCTAATTTCATTTGTATGCAGAGTCACGGCCCGCCCCCGACACAACGTCCCTTTTTCTGTTTTCTTTCTCAGTCCATAATTTATTTGTAATTATGAAAATGATCCACCTCATCACTTCCTCTGTGTTCTTTTCTGTTGATAAGAATCTGTCAGAGGGGTCCGAGTCGTTGGATCACATTTCTTTGCCTTGCAGCTGCCTGAGGGTCTTACCTGTCGGGTTGTGTCCTAATATTCCTGCACCTGCTGGCTGCAATCCTTACGCTCTGAGTGGTTTTCTTTGTGTGGTTATGTCGGTTTTGTTGTTGCTCGGCTCTTATTTACCCCAGTTTCAAAATGATATTTAATTTTAGGAGGAAAGAAAACTTTATTTCTTTCCACAAAGTCACAACCTTGTGAATTCGGATTAAACCAAACCAACCTCTCTCTGACCTCCAGGCCCCGGCATGGATGACATCCAGGTTGTTGAGTCCAAACCCCTGATGGTGGACAAGGAGCTTCCGGTACGTTCCCGTCACGTCTTCTACTTGAGTCATTTTAGTTTAACCACCTAGTTAAAAGAAAAGTAGAACAACCTTTGGTTCTGATCTGAATCATCTGATGCCCTTTAAAATAAAAGCCCCCTCCAGAGATTTGGTCGATAATAAATTAAAGTCATCAAAATGTTGTTTTCTGTGTGAAATCGGACTTTCATGGTCCCAAATCAAAGCTGCGACCATCTTACATGAAAAAGCTAAAAATGTGAACAGTAGTCGTGTTTGTGAATGTGAGGCAGTCCTTTAGGATTGTAAGTCATGTGATTTCATTAGTTTTGATTGCTCTGCTTTCGACTTCAGGGCCTGAGAGAGGCGGTGCAGCAGCTCGTGGTCAAGGTAAGAGTTCACAACTCAGCAGAAATAGACCCAGCTGTGGATTTAACTAGAGGAAGAAAAAGTAGAAATTTACTCATTTTTGTGACACGCCCCTCTTTGTAGCACCACCTAGTGGCGGCTGGAGGTCATAACGCCCTGCTGCTGATTTCCTTTTCCGATAGGTCAGCTCATTTATCACGCTGATGATGACCTCTCATCTGCTGTGATTTCATTTAGACACAAACCTAATTACGGCTTGACTCATCGGGTCAGATGCAGGAAGTGATGATGTTCACATTGGACCTGGAAAAGAAACATCACACACACACGTGCACGCACGCGTGTCCTGTTGCTCAAATCATCAAAGAAATTTTTTTTATTCAGAAAAAAATAGATTTTTATTTAGGTGTTTCTGACATATCTTTTAAGATAAATATCTAGTTAAATGAAAACATCAACCTCATTCTGCTGTAAACGCGTCATAGTTGCCCTTTTAAACCTGCCTATTAATGATTTAAAAAGCTCAATAACAACCCATTAAGTCAACTATTTCAGAAATGGTTATTAATCATTTCTAAGGGTAGTTGTTTGTGTGTAACAAGCCTGAGCGTCCAAAGTGTACATTCAGTCTCTTTAAAACCATTTAGACCTCCCTCCTCTGGCTCCTGTGACCTGATTGGTTTCTTTACCGCCACAGGATCGTCTGCATGTTTACTTTTAACACGTCACAGGAAAGTTGCCACAGTTGTGTGTGATTTCCTCTGAAACCTGAAAGGATTTCCTCTTTTCACTCCTGTGCTAGCTAAATGTTGAGTCATGACATTCCTGACCTCCTACATTAAGAAAATCCCGCGTGGGCGACCTGATGACACAAAAAGCAGGAGATTCCTCCAAGTCGGAGTCCACTGACTTTGCACTAATTGTTTGGATCACTTAGAGAACCCAGTCTGGAGGTTAAGCTCTTGATAATGAGTGACTCTGGATTAGAGATGGGGACGATGTTGTGCGTTTGCACAAATACGGCCACACCGCTTTTACTTCTGCAAGTTTGTGAACGTGTCTTCCTGTTAGCACGCTAACGGGTTCGATTAAACACCCGCCTGTTTCCTGTCGGGTTAAATTCAAAACAGTTCATTTACATGGCGCTAAAAATCCCATCAGGAGTCGTCTCAACGCAGACGTTCCAGTTGAACTCATCAGGGCGTCGAGTTCTGCTCATTATTCAGATTGGTTAAAGAGAAACTTAAGGAAACTCGGCAGATTGCACCGAGTTACTGACTTGTTGTGTCAGAGATTTGACACCAACTCCCTTATTAAGCAATCGTGTAGCGACAGTGTCGAGGAGAACTCCCCCTTTTCTACCAAAAATAACACGATTCAGTCCATTGATGCTGTTAATGGAGAGTATTTATGTCGGTTGTCTCCAAAAATCAAACTTTAAAGGAGGCCTAATTTATTTATTTATTTATTTTTAAATTGGCCCTACTTGTGAGAAAGGTATTGCTGAACAATGGCTGCCATGCTGGCCTCGTGCAGCCTGTTCCTGTACCGGCCGTCAACAACAGTCGCTGCAGCAGCGGATCCCCCCCCCCCCCCCCCCCTCTGGCTGACATTGGCTGATCCAATTTAAGGATATGTTCATCTAGAATTAGCTTGTTTTGACCAGCCTGCAAGGCACCATGGGAGGCCGGGCAGCTTAGAAAGCAAGGGTATAAAACGCCGCTCTGAGCAGCGTTAGAAGCTTACTGGGATCTGTAGCTCAAGGAGCCCCTCCGACCACACTCTTTACCCTTTAGTTGAATTTGTGTCCCGCAAACATGGTTCTGGAGGATTCTGACATGGAAATGATCGTGGCTGAGATTGAAGTCAGCGTGAGTACACGGCAGGATTTCTGTAGAATGGGAGCTCTGTGGAGCGTGTTGGGATCTTTACTGCTTGGAGAACCAGCTTTTGTCGCTAAGTGGGAAGAATAAATTGGAGCGAGTAGAACAATTGGTGTGTTTTCTTCCAGGAGCATGATGTGGAGACTCCCCATGGAAGAATCCGCTGCACGATGAAGGGCGTTCCCAAAGGGGACAGGCCGGTGATCCTCACCTTCCATGACATCGGACTGAACCGTGAGCCCCGTTCCTCACTCGGATTCATCCGGGGGAAACCTCTGCCTCCTAAACCCTTTCTGGTTTTGTTTTCCCAGACAAGACGTGCTGGGACACGCTCTTCAACCACGAGGACATGTCCGAGATCATGCAGCACTTTGCTGTGTGTCATGTCGACGCCCCGGGGCAGCACGAAGGCGCCAACACCTTTTCCACTGGGTGAGCCACACTCCTACACACACACACAGTGTTTGATGTGTGTCAGCCAGTCTGAGACCTTTGACTCCACAGGAACTCTGCCGATGGATTTAAGGCAACCTAATTTGACAAATTAGTCCACGGGACAGGTGTTTATCTGGCCTAATCTCTCTGACGCTGACACTTTGCCCCCTGTTATCGCTACTATAGCACAAACTGAAACCGGAGTTGTGATCTGGTGATTAGACGGTGTATTTGTTTTTTAGATACGAGTACCCTTCCATGGACCAGCTGGCTGAGACTCTCCCTCTGGTTCTGAAGCATTTTGGGTAAATTGAGCTGCAGTTGTCACTCCAGCACTTCTCTGGCTCATCCGAGGGGTTTTCTAACCCGTTGTTCTAACAGTACCCATGAATGTATGTGCACCGCAGGCTGAAGAGTGTCATTGCTATGGGCATCGGCGCCGGGGCCTACATCCTGACCCGATTTGCGGTACGTTTCACACCTTGCACGTTACAATTCAAGTTGTAATTAATCTCGGATTAACAAAGCAGAGTTCCTGCTGCCGGTTTGGCAATACTGTTGCCTGCTGAGCTGTAAAAGCCCGAGGAATGTTCATGGTTACAGAGCTCAGCAGGAAGTCGCACTTTGTTGACTGAAGGTTGACGGTCTACCTCCATCCTGCAGCCTCTGAAGGGAAAAATGTTTCTTTATGTTTTCAGTTGGACTATCCAAACATGGTGGAGGGTCTGATGCTCATCAACATCAACCCATGTGCTCAGGGCTGGATGGACTGGGCCGCTCACAAGGTAACAACCTAACAAAACGCCCCCATGACTCATCAAAGGATGACTTATAAACGGATTTGTCACCAAATGTTGCGACCTTTAGATCAGCGGCTGGACCCACGCCATGCCGGACATGCTCATCACCCACCTCTTCGGAAAGGTACCGTGTTTTTAGTTCAGCAAATATTTACGGGGCTGAAAATGGAAAACATGGCTTGACGTTCTGGTTTTTGCCGCAGGAGGAGATTAACCACAACCATGATCTGATCGCCACGTACCGCCACCACATCCTCAATGACATGAACCAGTTTAACCTGCATCTCTTCGTCAAGGCCTATGAAAGGTAGGAACATGTCAAATAATCACACTATTTGTTTTTTTAACTATTTGGTGATAGATTAAGTTCTCTACAGCCGAAGAGATCTGGAGATCGAGAGGCCCGTCCCTGGAGTCAACGTCAGAACCCTCAAGTAAGTCCAAGCAGCTTTTGTGTTCAGTAAAGAAAATAAAACCTTTTATGATGCATGGTTTTTGTTTAGGTGTCCTTCTCTCCTGGTGGTTGGTGACAGTTCTCCTGCTGTGGACGCCGTGGTGAGTTCATGTGGTGCTTTGATGCTAACGACTCCACTTCTCACTGTCGTTAGCGTAGCTAAGTAGCGGGACGTGCTTTCCGTCCACCTCAGCCTCCATTAAAGCGGAGGAGATATGCACGTTAGCATACCGGCCAAGGCAACATTTACACATGACTCAGGACAAAAGTGGCTCTGAGAACAAAGATCAGGTGACTGAGATTAGATTTAATCTGCTGGAGTCAAGATTTGTGTTGCTGCTGAACCCACCCCTCCCCTCCACCTAGCCTGGGGCACCCCCAGTAAACGTTCATAGGGGGCAGTGAAAACTTTGGGGTGGCACTCCAAATGGATCCCTGGGGTTACTCTGCCTGTAGTTGTGTTCAGATTGGTCCAGGCATCTACCACATTTACCTCCAAGTTCAGAAGAAAGACAATTTAAAAAAAGAACAAATATTGATTCAAACTAATATTTGTTTTAATTTCAAAATGTTTCATTTGTAGCTATTAACAAACAATTCACAAGGACGATTGGGATTTGTACTTTTTTTTTTTTGTTGAGCCACAGTGACGTACTTATTTTTATTTTTATTATTATTTTGTTTAACATTTATGTCGGTTAGAGCAGATGAAAGTGGAGATGATTAGTTATTGGGGGTTGGAGTTTTTTTTTCCTCCCCTGTGTGTGTGTGCGTGTGTGTGTGTGTGTGTGTGGGGGGGGGGGGGGGGGGGGGCAATTTCCAGAGGTGGCCATGGCCTCCCTTGGTCACGACTTTGGGGGCACCACTGCAACCAGCTAGTTTCTGTGAACATTTAAGTTTTTTTTCTACATTAGCTTAGCGTCTGATTGCTAACAATTCCTGTTTTGCAGGTGGAGTGCAACACCAAGCTGGACCCAACGAAAACCACCCTGCTAAAGGTGAGAGCCCCCCCCCCCCCACACACACACACACTGTGGTTTAGATCATTACAGCGTGATAAAAGTGCTTCAGCTGATAAGTTTCCAATAGGTCAGCATTTTCTTTGTGACACATTAACTAGCATGTCCACACACACACACACACCACACACACACACACACACACACACACACTGGATGTGCAGTTTGTGGCACCTGACCTACTTGTGTTCGTGTTTTTACTGCCCCAAACTAAAACCCTAACCTTTTGTGTTCTTCCCTCCCTTCTCCAGATGGCTGATTGTGGCGGCATGCCCCAGGTGGACCAGGTGTGTATGTCTTCTGTGGGACACACGGCTGCAGTGTGCAGATATTCAGGGTGGACGTGTAAGAAGGTGGCACTTAAGAGCATTAGCAGGAAGCAGACCGCAGTTGTGGGGTTGTAATCTGAACGACGCCTGCTCGTAGCAGCTGTCATATCTCCTTAGCTGCTAGGAGGAGCTTCGTGTAAAGCAAAGTGATTATGGATGACCGCAGACCCGATTATCTAACATCGTTGTTCTCTCTGCAGCCGGGAAAACTGACAGAGGCTTTCAAGTACTTCATCCAGGGCATGGGATACAGTAAGTATTTAGGATTTTCAAGGTTTGGTTGCTTCTGAAAGCATGTCTACCACCTTGTGGTGATATAAGGAAATACTTCTCCCTCAAATCACCATGTGGTCAGCAAGTTGATGCAAAATTAGGTTTTTCTTTTCTGGTGCATCACAAACCTTTTATATTTTCTAAACACAATATGTAGAAGTCTAAAAAATATTTGCTTAAATCTATTTTTTCTCAAGTTTTTAAGCTACTTTGGGTGACTTGAAGTAATTTCCTCTCCCCTTAGTGCCTGCTGCCAGTATGACCCGCCTGGCCCGCTCCCGCACCGCCTCCGGCTCCAGCGTCGCCTCCGACGGTAATCGCTCGCGCTCCCACACCACCGAGGGAAACCGCTCGCGCTCCCATACCAATGAAGGCAGCCGCGGCCGCAGCCACACCGACGGCACGGCCAACAACAACGTGGACCAGTCCGTGCCCAAGTCCACCGAAGTATCCTGCTAAACCAGCCGCCGCTGAAACCTCTCATGGTCCCTTTATTTTGTGCTGCGCTGCCTCCTCACGCACACACACACACACACACACACACACACACACGCACACGCACACGCACACACACACACACACGGACTTTTCCATGCAGCCAATGTGCCCAAATCCAAACATTCATCCGGAGGTTAAGGGTCAGGGAGTCAGACTGGTGTGGAGGCAACGCAATATTCGGGACATCAGAGCAGAGAAGAAGCAGCTGTGGTTGATGTACTCCAGCTTGTAAACTCTTGTGAATTTAAAACAAAGTTAACTTCTCAGCATTCATCGATTGTTTTTAATCCATTTTCCACCGCAGACCTGACGGTAAATGGCGTGTGTTCTCGCTGTAATCATTTATTCTGATTTACTGTGTCTGAAGTCACGTTGGTGCGTAGGAGCAGAGTTCCAGATGTTGGGAGAGAAGGAGGCACTTGGATGGATACATAAAAAAGGGCTTTTTTTGCCTAATTTTCTGATTAATATCATAAATTAAGGGACAAACTTCAATTATATTCTGTAAATATGCAAATTCTTGCTTGTGTCCATTATGTTTAAGGTGTTGGGATTATTTTTTTATTTTATTTTCCCTCCGAAGAATGTAATGAACTTTTATATCACTTTCATGTTCCATCCAACCCAAACTGAGTTTGGGTGGAACATCTTTCAGAACGTGTAATTTTCCATCTCGTGCTTCATTTGCTTCAGTTTTCCCCTCTTTTACTTTGTTTCGGAGTGATTTCTATGCAATCGAGCACAATAGATCAAATGAAAGTGCCATGGCAGTGTCCGCTCTCACCGTGAGATGCTCTTTCTGCGGTTGTGGCTTTGTGGTTGAGTGACATGTTAACTTGAATTTAGCCATAGAACCTAACCCGATACCTTCTCCTGTACTTTAATTGCACTATGGCTACATATTCCTGCACAGAGGACATAAACACAGCTTTGTAATGATGCGCATACCATCTACTGCTGTAGAAAAGCATTAAAATGACATAACAGTTTGTATTTATTAAAAAATGACAATAAACACCTTGTAACAGATTCCCTTTTTGTGTCATTTTCTGCATCTTTTAAAGGTGCAATAAGTAAGAATTTTATAGTGACATAATCACAAAATAGTTTAATGTTTGGCAGTGTACGTGTAGATGGGTCTTTGTGAAAGCGGATACCCCCCCCCCCCCACCCATATAGGGGAAATGTAAGTCTGCACCACCTCTTTAAAATCCGGTGCATTGTGAAGCACATTCAAAGGCATGCTGAGCCTGTAGGTGGCAGTAGTCCCAAATCTTCTGCATTTTTCCAGAAAAACCTTCCTTGGACATGGAATAACTAGGTGCTTTCTGTCCTCAACTTCGTCCTTGGCCCGTGTCGCTATGTCTTCAATATAGAGCAGTAATGGAGCTTGTAGAGACGAGTGGGTGTAAACACAGGTCACAAATGTGACCCGCGACGTGAAACTCTGGTTATTTACACCCACAAGCAAATGACCGAAGACAATTTGCAAATCTCCACTTTGGTCTTGAGTTTTTGAAAGAATCGTTTTTGGTGGCGTACATCTTTACTTTCATGTGGACGACAGGCCAAACCGTAGAAAAATATTCGTATTGTGGAACACCTGACTGGTTGCCAGTGGTTTCCTTTTGAAAATTTTGCAAAGGGATGTAGTCATTGCCTTCATTCTTCCTGGTTCCAAAGCAAATCATAAGTGAGCATTTCAACACAAACATTGCTGCGCCAGCCTTTGAAATTTGTCACCGGCTGGCAAAAAGCTCCAGAGTTGTAGAAAGAATGTTGATCAGTAAAAGGAGCCGGCCAGAAGTTATTTCTTGTACCCCTACGAAGCCATGGAATCTTTTTGTTTTACTTTGATAAAGGATGAAGCAGGCTAGAGGCTAACAGTACGCTAACAATGCTAATGGTCACTTAGAAGCAAATAGTCTGCTAATAACGTTATCTCAGGTACTTTTTCCAATCACCAACAACTCAATATTACTGTGAAATGTATTTATCTTTTTAACTTACTTGTCTGACTCGTCTTTGTAATCTAGAACCTTCTGGCTCAGTGGGGGCTAGCTTGTTTTAATGCATGGACTGCAGTACCCACATTTGACCACAGGATGTCATCTTTACTTCATGCACCTTTAAGATGTCGTTAGTTATATTTCTGCTTCTACTGTTAGTTTGACAAATGTCCTTTAAACAAATTAGTGTGTCTAGAAATGAAGAGCTGTGATGTAAAATTATTAAAAATGCAAATAAATTAAACTTTACATATTTTAAATGCTTTTTGTATTTGTTCTTCAGATATTCTTCCAAAGCAAATAGTCATGTAAATTCTTTCTAGAAACACATTTTTATATTTACAATTTTCCCATTTTCAATAAGCATAAGAAGACATAGTATGCCATTGAAAAGTAAGACTGCTCCTCAGTCAGTGACCTCTGGGTAACCGTAGTAACTCTCCAGCTCTGCAAAGATGTCGTTGGGGTTTTTGCAGCTGAGGTTGCAGAAGCACGCCTGGATCCACAGCATCTTCCAGGTGAAGCCAGACCTGTTGGGACACTGGAATTCCACGTCGATGGTCTTGGACTTGTACGGGATGCAGCAGCGCTCGTCGGTGCAGACTCCGCAGTATTTGGGTCGGTACGATTTCCTGCTGGTGCAGCCGGAGATGGTGAGGTTTGAAGGCAGATCCTCCCTGTAAATATTCAGACACTTCTTTCCTGGCTGAGGAAATTAAGGTTTATAAGTGTTGGGACCTTGAATATCAATTTTTAAATGGAGTCAATACGGTTCCGATTCCCTACCTTGATATGTTTGGTGATGTCGACCTCACACGGACGCAGGTTGCACAGACGGGACTCTTTGATCATCTCACATTGCTCGTTGGCGTTTGAGATCCTCATGGAGAGGCCGCGGCCACAGCTCTTAGAGCAGGGGCTCCAGGAAGTCGTCTGGGAGATGCAGTTCTTGTGCCAGCTCTTGGTTTGAGCTGAGAAAGCTGGATCAAAACGAAGAGACAAAGCAGACTTAGAGATTTGGCAATTTCCTGCTTCAAGGAAATACATTTGAGAAGTTTATGGAGTGTTAGCAATAAATTGTGCTTTTTATTGCGTTTAAAATTCACACTCGGAAGTTTTTTGTATTTTTGTTTGAAGAAAAAAAAGCTCATATGTGTGTGTTTTTTTTATTTTACTTTGAAATCTTTTTGATTAAACAAAAATCTAACTATTTTATTCAGAGAATGCCAAAGTGCGTAAACTGATAAATTGTCCTGCACTTTTATTTTTTCTTCCTCAAAATGCATCTGTTTCTAATCTACATTCTTAAGCCGTGTCTGTCTCGTGGTCTGGCTCTAATTTGTCCTCTTATGCAACATAGAAAGAGGTACGTTTACGCTCTTGCCTCGGTGGCTTTGGCACACTAGCCAAACTTCAACACAGCTGCTTCTGTTTCATTTATTCAGTCCAATCCTTTCTGCTGAGAACACAAACGAGCCACTTTTTATGCTTTATCTAATCTGAGCCTGTAGTGTTTACACCTCACCTTCCACGGCGCGTCGTGGCGCCGTCTTGCGCCCTCTCTTGGTCTCGTCACAGATCCACTGCTCACAACACTGACCCCGGACTTTGACCCGACGCGGGCTTTGGCACCACACCCTGGGAGGCTGGGACTCTGTGCACAAGGCTACACAACCTATGGCACCGTTCACACAAACACACTGGTATTTGCAGTTGGGCTTGAAGCTCTGACCGTTGCGGTAGATGACGCCGTCGTGCTCGCAGCCCGTTCCCACCATATCTGACCGACAGCAACGACAAAGGGGACTCATTTTAATGAGGCACGCATGAGAAACTGCAGGAAGATTGTGTTAATGAATAATTTTAATGCAGATTTTTATATGTGTGTTGTTGACATTCCTATGCTGCTGTATATGCTTCTAAACAAACAAAAGGACCTGTGCATGGTCTAAATTGTTTAATTTGATTCACACATGCAACGGATGTTTCTGCTGTGATGTTTGCTTCAGCGGCGACACTTACATGCACACACTCCCTTTTCGTACCTAGGCTTGTCCGAGCTGTAGTCACAGTACAGTCCCTTGTGGTAGTCGCATGTGTCGGCCTCGTTGCACACCTCACCCACCTGCCGGGCACAGGTCTTGCAGCAGTCACAACCGTCCATGAGGAGGCTCACGCCTGGGGGGCATTTTGGGGGGGCTATCGGGCACTCACAAGGCCACTTGCAGTACCGCGTGCGGTTGTACGGCTCTGCGGTTGGCCAGGTGATGGCTGTGGAAGGTGGCGTGGCAGTGGAATTCAGGGAGTAGGCCTGGAGAGAGGAAAGTACAGGAGAAAAACATTTGTCTTAAACACTGGATCACCACAGGGCTGTGTGCTCAGCCCCCTTCCGTACTGCCTATTTATCACCAATCACTATGTTGCTAGCAACACTACAAACTCCATCATCAAATATGCGGATGACACAACCATCGCAGGCCTCATCAGATGATGAGCAAGTCTATAGAGTTGTGCAGGCCCTGAGTAACTGGTGCCTGCACAACTTACAAGCCAACATCAGTCAAACCAAAGAGATGATCGTAGGTTATCAGAAACAGTGAGGAAGGGAACGCCAGAGCATTTGCATCAATAAGACAGAGCATAAAAGAGTCAGCAGCTTTAATATACTTGGAATAAACTTCACAGAGGACCTCACATGGATAAGTAGACAAGGTGGCCAAGAAAGCACGTCAGCGGCTCTAATTAAACTGGGACTGAACGCTAACGTCACAGAGCAGTGGTCGAAAGTTTGTTGATGGGCAGTGTCACTGTCTGGTATGGGAGCTGCGCTGCAAAGAGTCGGAGATCAAAACAGAAAATAGTGAATTGGTGGCGGCACAAAAGATGGACCCATGGATGACATCTTCAACGGTGCAGACACTAGGCTATTAGCATCATCAAGGACCACAGCCAACTGTTTACCCTGCTGCCATCAAGGAGATGTTTCAGGAGTCTAACTGCCCAAACATCTAAAGAATAACTTCTACCATCAGGCTGTTTGGGTCTAAAACAGCAACACCTACTACATGAACTTAATGTTATGGATATAGATCTTTATTCTCTCTCTTGCTTATTGAACATTGCTGAGTGAGAGTGTGTTTATCCCTTTTTGTCTCGTTGAGCTCATTCTACTGTAATGTTCCATCCATCCATTTTCGTCCGCTTAGCCGGGGTCGTTTGTGGAGGCAGACTTCCCTCTCCCCAGCCACTTGGGCCAGCTCCTCCAGGGGGAATGCCAAGGTGCCCCCAGTCCTGGGTTTTCCTTCATGTGTCCTCCCAGTTGGACGAGCATGGAAAACCTCACCATGGAAGTGTCCAGGAGGCATCCTAACCAGATGCCCGAGCCACCCCCAGTGGCTCATCTCTATGTCATTATAATGTGGACTTATGTTAACCAACAAATGACAAATAAAGAAAAGTTAAAAGGTTGGTTCTGAAACTGAAAAGACTAAATGTGGTGCCAGAGAATGAACCAGGCACCAAACAGCTTCCATTTTATTGCCTTGATGCAGACGGATGTTTGACTCTGTGATAAGCAACACTTTAATCAAGCCTTAATCCTGATTTCCTTCATAAACAATCCTATTATGTAACAGACATAATAACCTCTAATTCACAGCTTTCATGATCACTAATATTCAGCCAGGCTATGAAACTAATTAAACTATAAAAGTGAATTAAACAACCAGCTGAGATAATCCTATGAAGTGAATGTCGGGGCCTAGTTTAGCCTGTACTTAAGAGTGATGAAACTGGGATCAACAGTTGCAAAATCCTGCAGACAAACCTGAATTCCTCCTCCTTTTGACTGGTTTTATTCTTTGTGTCACTGAGCTCAGACGCCAAACAGATCCACACTTCCTAAAAGTAGGTGTTTGTCCCAAAACAAGTACCTAAAGACATGCTAAAGCAGCAATCCGGAGTTTTCTATCTCTCAGGAACTCAGTATGATGTTTTAGAAACCCATGAATGTGATGGTCTTACCCTGTACTGTGATGTCATGTAGGCATTAAGTCTGCCCCTGTCCTGTAGAGCCTCTTGCACTTTGACCTGAGCGCTGCTCAACATCAGCCAATCCGCTTAAGTACAGATGCCAGTCATAGTGAATGGGCACCATAGTGGAAGTACCTATAAGGATTCAGAGTTGGCGACATTTCTTATGGACAAGTAAGTCTTTAAACTATTTATAAATGAATAAGCCACATTAGGTGGGAATAACAGCTGTAAAACGTTGTGTTTTTGCTACGTTGGCCGGCTAGACGTGCACATTCATGAACGAGAGGCGTTGCTTCCAGCTGTAATCACAGAAGCACGGAGAGCGGCTTAAGGGCCGATACTTTTTTCCGCCTCTAGATGGCGCCAACTGACAAAAGAAACCGTCAACGGCAAGCTAAGCAACTAAGCCCTTATTTCCAATGGACGTGAAAGCAGAGCGTAGCACAATCGCAGCGTTTTACCCGTGGGCTCCTTCCACACCGGGAGCGTTTCAGACGTGAGAAGGGAGTGGAAGCGTTCCACTCCACTCGTCCTGCAAAGTCACAAACTCACAGGAGAATTTCAACACCACGCATGATTTCAAAAATCCACACAAGTCTCCAGTAAGGAACATTTCAGCTTCATGTTTCCAAGAAGGTCCGTGGTTTGTTTTCTCTTCTGTTTAAATCAGCTACAGGGGGTTCACAGGAAATGACGTACGTTTATCCGCACGTGACTCATTTGGGAAGTTTCCAGATGTTTTGCTGTGCTTTTGTGTGTGACTTCCTGTCTGACTCAATCTAAACTGTGGAGTTTGATGTGTTTTGGAAGCGTAGCGCATAAGAAATGCACTTGAAACCTAACGTTAGCGTCTCTTTGCTTCTGGGACATGTTTGAAACATTTGACTTTGCTGCCGGTGGAAAGGAACCCGTCCACTAAAATGGTGGATACCTATCGTGTAGTACGTGTCGCTGTCATTCCACGTCTGGTGGAAAGATGGGCCAGAGTCTGAACTCTATAGCGTCCTTTCCAGGACACTTTTAGGTCACAGAAAACATCTTCAGGCATCTGACTGATTGGCCTTATTGTCAGAGTTCAGATGGAAATCCATCCATTTTCTGGACCCACTTGTCCACGTGGGGTCGCGGGGGGCTGGTGCCTATCTCCAGCGGCCAACAGGCAATCAGGCGGCGTACACCCTGGACAGAGAGCCAGTCCATCGCAGGGCAACACAGAGACAGACAGGAAGAGCAATCGCTCGCGCGCACACACACACACACACACACACACACACACACACACACACACACACACACACACACACACACACACACACACACACACACACACACACACACACACACACACACACACACACACACACACACACACAAGGACAATTTAGACAAACCAATTAACCTAACAGTCATGTTTTTGGACTGTGGGAGGAAGCCGGAGTACCCGGAGAGAACCCACGCATGCACAGGGAGAACATGCAAACTCCATGCAGAAAGATCCCAGGCCGGGAAGCGAACCAGGACCTTCTTGCTGCAAGGCAACAGCTCTAACCACTGCACCACTGCGCAGCCACAGATGGAAATCTGTGGCTGCGCAGGCTTTTAAAGCATGCCTTTAAAAGCAGGTTTTAAAGGCATGCTATGCAACTTTTTTATATTTTAAATCATTTTTTGAGCCAGCATGTGCTACAAGGACTCTTTACAGGGTTAATGAAAAGTCACTCAGAGCCCCACTGCCCGTTGTGGCCAGAATATGGCACTTGCAACTTCAGAGTGCCGGTCCGAACCTTGTGGACTTACAAAATGTGGAGCTTACTTGCTCAGCGCTGCAGTCTGCTTCCAGCATGTTTCCTGCTTGTTTTAGACCATGAACACAGCTGATTTGTTTAATTTAGTGATGAACCTCTCCTCTAGAAACTGATGAAGGCTGAGGAGACATTTCAGCTGTTAGTTTAAGGTGTTAAAAGGACGAATGCGCAGCGAGGAGATAAGTTTTGCTTTTGGTTCTACAACGTGGAGTTAATAACAGACTCTAGGGGGTGCTAAAAGCAAACCAAAACTGCATCGTTTCCCTTTAACTGAACTCTCACTGATAGGACAAAAGTTTCACAAGTCAAAATGCTTTAAAGAAGACGTGTTTAGTGTAAACTAAAAATTTCCAAATCTGAAAAGTTCCAGTATTTTGAGTCCTGAACTGGAGCTGGGACACATGGTGCAGGTGGTTCAAACTTCAGTGGAATCACCAAACATTCAGAATCAGAAGCTAACTTCAGAGATGGGTTTTGTTTTCCAACTGGTCTGATATCTTCTTTTATCCTGATAATTGGTGCTTTTCTTTCTTTTTCTTCCCAACACCTGAAGCTTTTTTATCTGATTTTTTTCCCGATGCAACTTCTGAAGTCGGAAGAAATAGTCCTGACGTATAAAGACCCTAACCCTAGTACACATGTGACTGTTTTAGGTCACAGTTGACTTTAGAAACCACCAGAAACAATTAACCTGCATCCATCTAACCCTTTAACTGTCAATTTAATCCAGTATCTTATTGAAAAATGGTTTCTAAAAAGAACACTGCAGAAAATTACACATATTTTTATTAAAACATTAATATTACACTTATTTCATTCAATGACATAACATTTTTTGCTCCAAAAGAAATCAAAAATTCAAAACAAAATGTTTTTTTTCCACAGTTTGTAAATTAAAATGTTAAACTAAGAAGCTAAGATTCATGATCAATCAATTTTCCTCTGGGATTAATAAAGTATTTTTGAACTGAATTGAATTGAATGATACCATTCTGTATCTTAGGACGTATTGTCTGTATTCTGTCAGATGTCTGACATTTCATGTGAAGCCACAAATCACAGAATGACTCATGAGTTCACGTCAGTATTGAGCTTCTCATCCATAAAGGGCTAATGTAATGATTCCAGACCTAATACACTCAATCATTTTAAGTACAGCCTCAGTCAATTCTCTGAGATTGTTGTCAGCCTTCAGAGGAATGTTATCCAAATAAAGACGGAGTGTGGCGTCACGAGCTAATGCTGATAGACGAGCTTTAATCACAGCTGTGCTGTTGAGTCCATCCTCAGCCATTTGGTTCATTCATGGAGAAAAAACTGATCCAGAACAAAAACTCATCTTAAATCCAGACAAAGGGAGCAGATCACAGACAGATGGATGACATTATGAGTTATTGATCATTTTTATGATAAAATGGGATTAGATGTAATGAGGTAATCTTTCTGCACCTATCACTTATTTATCTTTATTAGGTACTTAACTACTTAATAATTGTTTCCCCTTATGCAAGATGATCAGTTCTGCACGAATCCCCCAACGCTTCATTTATGCTTCAAAATACAATTTTTACTTTATGCGCTGCTTGGATGTAATGTGTTATTATTTAACCCATACACAACTGTTCCACCAGCTGTCTTAACAGTGATGAGGAGGGATTTCTGAATTTAGGAACACAAGAAAATAATGTCATTTAAGCAGCACTTCCCCGAGTAACCACAAAGTGGCAGTAAACTCCAGTGAATAAACAGGCAAAGAGATGGGAGTGAAAAAAATTACAGTTTAAGAAGTTTTTTTTATATAAAAAGGTATTTTCATGATGTGATAAAACTCTAATATCGGTCATAAATACTGAACATTTGAGGCAGACATAATTAAATAAGGAAGTCGTCTTCACCCACCTGTTGAAGCCCAGCTGCTGTCAGAAGCCACAGCAGCAGCCAACTCATCCCTCGTGAGGAGCTGCACGCGCATTAATTCCACAATGGTTTCCGCTCTGTTTACCCCGCGCGCGACAAGCAGCTCTCCCTCCGCAGGTGTGCTACATCCTCGTGCCCTCACCTGTCATCTCCGCCTGATCCCGAGTCTGCTGCTGGTGCTGACGGACAGCCTGCTCGTGGACCGGGCTGACGTCAAGTCTGCAGAGCTCAGTCAGCATAGTTTTCCCCTCAGCTCCGCTCTGACCCGAGCCTCCTCCTCCTCCTCCTCCCGCTCCTCCTCACGGTTCGGGCTGTCCCGGTGGCTTGGGCGGGTCCGGAGGATACTCTGCAGCTTTGATCAAACTGGGATTAAAGGGCAGAGATTTTCAGAGGATCACTCCTCTGGTCATAAATTGATCTTGTTTATCTAGCAGATCGATTCCATTTCAAGATCCTTCTCAAAGACAGAACATTCAGCAGGAAATAGGAATAAATTCACATGTTTGTTGTGAGATTTGCAGTTTTCCTCTGGCCTGAACTTTTACCTTAAATTTCAGAAGAATCAATACATTTTTGAACATTTTACTGCACAGATGCACCTTTCATGCCAGGTCATCCAACACGTCTTTCATCTATGCAAGTTTTCCCAAGGATTAAAGCATTCAGTCAGAAAGACAAGAGGCTGTTCAGAACATCGCTTTGATCAAGGATGAACTTTTTCTTCTCCTTAGTCACTAAATTCAAATAAACAGACGCCATCATTAGAAAAGCAAAGTGCTTTTCTCTGGAATGTGAGACTGGAAGTACCCAGCTGCACGTTTAGAGTCGTGCATAGCTCACGAGGTCCAGCATCACACCAGAGTCTGGCAACGGGCAGCGTTCATGCACTTCTGAGAAAACAGAGTCTATCAGCACAACTGGGATAACAAGTGAACGGACCGAACGAGGACTGGCATAGGTCCACATTCAGATTGTGAGGAATTCCTCTAATGTGGAGATTCCACAGCAGACCCAGGACAAGCTGAACGGGTCACCTTGTGATCCCACCAGAGGAGCTAGCAGACGTGGACCCATGAGGAGGCAAAATGATGCCGTGGTGCAGAGTGGAGAGGGAACAGGAGTTTCCAGGGTTTTTTTTTGTGGAGATGGTGACCATGGTCTTGTGTAAAAAAAGGGTAGAATGCCTTCTTCAGGTCAGGGATGAAGTCCTGCCACAAGTGGAGGAGTTTAAATATCTCAGGGTCTTGTTCACGAGTGAAGGAAAGATTTGATCGATTTGCAGGTCAATCTACGATCCGACCCTCATCTATGGTCACGAGCTTTGGGTAGTGACCAAAAGAAACGAGTTTTTGTCTGGGCACTCCCTTAAATATGGGAGCAGGGCTTGATCATCTGGGAGGGGCTCAGAGTAGATCTGCTGTTCCTCCACATCAAGAGGAGCCAGTTGAGGTGGCTCTTTGATCTGGTTAGGATGCCTCCCTGGTGAGGTGTTCCAGGTACGTTCAACCTGGAGGAGACCCAAGAGAGACCCAGGACATGCTAGAGGGACTGTGTCTCTCAGCTGATCAGGGAACACCTCGGGATTCCCTGGAGGACCTGGTCCAAGTAGCTGGGGAAAGGGAAGTCTGGGCCTTCCTGCTTAGGCTGCTGCCCTCATGACCCGACCCCGGATAAGTGGAGAAAAATACATGTATGGTGTAGGCGTCTTGCAGCAGATCTTCCAGTTCACAGAAGAATCCAGGGCAGATTCACAAAGGGAACTCCTCTAGCAAGTTCTTCCAGGGTAGAAAACACAGAGAACTCTGGGGAAAGGTCACGAGAGGTGATTTCTGATTACAGCCCAAAAGGTTGGTTGTTGTCCAGCTGAACTTTAGAGAGGAACATGTCGACTCATGTGAACATTTATATAACATTTTTATATCACCCAGTCACAGCATTTTATTCAATGGGCATCTTCTTTCTGCAGGCTGCATCTTAATTTCTGAGACTCGTCTGAGTTGTGGTTCTTGATGAAAGCCTAAATATATAGAAATGATAGTTTCTTCTTCTTCTAAAGGCCAACTTTACCATTTTGCAGTGGTCTGTAGTAGGGATGAACGCTTGTAAGTCATAATCTGTAGAAAAAAGCTCAGACTCTCCTGTTTAGGGACGTCCAAGTCAGCCGGAGAGGAAAGTAGCTTCAGGCGACAGGATTTGGCATCTTATTTCCTGGTATTTGGACATCTCACCTCTGATTGGCTGACAGCAACACGATACTACCGCTGACTATCTGCTCGGCAACGTTGATGTTTTACCTCCACAAATAAAACAAGCCTGGAAGAGTTCTGCTGCGTGGTGCAGTTGCTAATGCTAATGGTTAGCTTCTACCAGACATACTCTCCTGGATGCTAAACCAACAACAGCCTTCCCCGTCGTGAGTCAAGATGGGTGAGTCAGTGAATGTTAAGTGACAGTGTGACGTAGAACTGTCAGACTTCTCTGAACAGAGTGTTTTCCCGTCTATTATTAATCAGAAACATTGCATGTCCCCCCCCCCCCCCCCCCCCCCCACACACACACACACCATGTCAGAGCTGCTGAGACAGTGTCTGGCCCCCAGATGTTCACTTTAAATCAGTGATGTAATCCTCACATTTGGCTGATTTGCTTTCCTTTCTTTTTCTTGGAAATAAAACAGTTTGAATAAAAGTTCCGCCTGATGCTGCTGGAAAATAAAAAGGGCACAGCTGCTGGTGGGAATATCATCCAGAATAATCCACCAAGAACTCCGCCCCCTGGAGGCGACACAGAAGAGGAGAAATCTGCCCCAGGTCTGAACCCTGGTTTCCGTCTCTGCTCTGGCTGCTGCCACCTGACCCTTCAGGGCATGATGTGCACACTTTCACTGTCACTTTCATTCTCTCAAGCTCATGTTCTCACACTTTTCCATTCATCCTGTTTGTTTCTCTCATTTGTTTTTATTAAACAATTAAAATTATGAAACATGCAAAATTTGGGGCCTGTTTTAACTTTTTGGTCTGCAGTCAGACAAAAACCAAATCTGTGGTGTGAAATTAGATTGATTTCTAACATTTCCAAGTGCTAACTAGAAGTTAAATGACGGGTTTCTCAAATTTAAAAAAATATTAAAAATGTGTTACAAGATAAAAAAATACAGTCCCTGTAAAAATCTCAGTTTTCAGCTGAAACACGATAAATTCATATTAACACTGTGTTCTCTTTGACAGACAACAACAAACTGGGGAAATAACATTGAATCAATGATCATTCTGTCATTTTCTGAACATTTCAACAAAATAAACATTTTGTGTTTTCTAGAAAATTCTCTTTTCCCATCTAGATGAACACACGTGGCCTCTCCCAGACTCCAGACACCGTGTTGCTCCTCGGTAAACGTCTGCAGAGAAACTCCCACACCTTCAGTGTGTCTGCATCTGCTCTCCATTATCCGGCTGATGCGCTGGTAGCCATGACTGCGGGGCGTTACATAAACATTTAATGTGCATCACTGAGTGAGATTACACAACCAGGAAGGAGAATGCCAAACATGTAATGCCTTTGCCTTTCTGCACGACTGTCCTATCATTAAAGCAGGTTGGAGGCAACCCCTGCTCTGCTCTGACAAGAAATCTGATGACTGACATGAAATCAGAATATTAAGTTTACTGGACTTGTTTGTCTCACACAGTTGTTTATTTAACTATTTATTTACTGTTATCTCAGCAACACATAAATCCCTGCATGTTTTATTGAACGATTCCTTTTATAAAATATCCCAGGTGGTTAAGAATGAACCGCTAATGCAGCAAACAGCATAAGGGTATATTTGCTCATTGAAAAACGTTGCAAACATTTTTCTTTTTTTCTTTTATTATTTGAAATAAAATAATAACCTACCTGCAAACAGAAGGATTAGCTGAGCAAATTACACAGATGTGGCTAAATTTTCTCTGCCCAACGTTTTGCATCAATGAAACTGAAGGGCATTAGCTGGATTTTTAACCGTGGCTGCTAACTGTTAGCATTAGCAGCTCCACCACACAGCAGAACTCCTCCAGGCTTGTGTCATTTGTGGAGATAAATCATAAAACAACGTTGCAAAGCAGACTGTTGTGTTGCTGTTATCCAATCAGAGACGAGATGTCTGAATATCAGGAAATAAGACACCAAATCCTGTTGTGTTCAACTCAGTTTACAAGAGACCACTGCAAATGAGTTGATTAAACGAGTGAGCCACTCCTTTAAAGACTTTCCACTTCAAACTGGTCTTGCTTCAGTCAGCTCGGCACAGCAGGCTAGCTTTAATGCTAGCTAGACCTGCAGTGAATTAAGATTTAAATATGTTTTCAGTGTTCTAGACCTTTAAGTTCACTCTGGGGTCCATGGCCATTCCAGCTTGAATCCAGATAAAACCAGAGGTCAACAGTGATCTACTCCAAACACACCACCGTGAATACGTTACCTGTAAGAGAGCCAGAATAGAGCACTGAGGTGTATTTCCTATGACAGCAGAAAATGTAACAACATTCTCTATGATTTGACCTTATAGCTCTTCAAAATAAAAGTCCCCTCATTAAAAATCCTCTGAGCTGACAGACAAGCCTAAAAGTTTATGTTTATGTTTATTTATTTATTTAGCAGACTCTTTTATCCAAAGCGACTTACAATTTACATCCTGTAGGGCATGTTGTGATCAATGGTGCTTTGGAAAGATTAGTTAATCAGTTATTCCTCGTGGGAAAAAGAGTTTAGGTCATAAAAAAGTTGTTTTTCATTCAGAGCGGTTAGATGTTTTTACTGTAAAGGTCAAAGGGTTCATTCGCAGAAGAGTTAGAAGGTAAAATCAGTCACTGTCATCCATGCATTTCTGAGAAAAGTTCACGTTTTCTTCTCCTTCTGCAGGTTGAGACTGCTGGCATGTTAAATATAAATCTCAAACTGAAAATCTCTCCTTATAAACCTGACAAACTGTCAGGCTGTGAGCCATATGTGGGCCTTTTTTAAATTATATGAGTGGCTTGTGTGAGTGTATGGAAGTGAGCTGGCCGTGCTCAGACTGCTCCAGTAATTACGCTGTCTTTATATAGAGCTGTGGTCTGAGAGTCCTGGACGGAGGAAAACATCTGCTGGCTCCAGCTGATGCAGCATGAAGTCAAAGTGTTTTAATAATGGATGACTCGGTCATCTGATGCAGAGGAACCGATGATGTTGTT